TCTTCAAAGTAATCTATCTTTCCATTAATATAATATATTTCAAATATTAAAATGAAAGATTTTTTTACAAATACTACATATTATTGAAATTAAATTTCCTAAAATAACAAATATTCCACGTGTTTCTTTCGATAGTTTAGAAGTTTTTCTGTCAATTAGACCAAAGTGTTGTCACTATTTTAAAACTCAGCTTGGCCCGACCGGTTTAACCGGGACCCAGGAGCTTCATCGGGCCGGGTTAAGATTTTCACTATTCACCCAAAACCCTAGAATTTAGGATAATGAACGACGAACAATTGAAGGCTGGGATGTTGGGGTTTTTGAAGAGAAAGTGTTGATGACTGCAATGGTGGCGACGAAGTTGATTTCCGATGAGTGAATCGATTGGAAATCGAAAAACCTAGCAGCAGCAACAACTGGCTTTTGCCGACGATTGGCGAGGCTAACGGGGGTGGGGTGAGGTGGTTTTGGTAGGGAGAAAGAGGGGAGTATTTTCAGGGTGATAGGGAGCTTGTCGATGCCAACATCAATGAGATCTAGCCTGAAATGCCGACGTTGGGGTCAATTCGATTTTGGCCAAATCTTGGGTAGATTTTTGGGGGAATAGGCTCAAAAGACGATTGAGATTGCATTTGGGGTGTCATCACCGCCAACCAGTCGTCGGCCGATTTGTATTTGGGGTGTGTTTGCTAAATTTCAAACTTATAGGGATTTCGTTATAATTTTTAGGGATGTATTTGCTAAATTTTAAAAGTTTTGTCACCCGATTTGATTGGCTGGTCAAACCGGTCAACCCAGGACCCGACAACTTTGCTGGGTTTCATCTCGGGTTGGTTATTAAAAATTTAAAACATTGAGCACTATCACGATTTCGGCCCTAAGTCCAATTCTAAAAGAAAATTTGCCAAACCTTCAAAAATTCAAATTAAATTTTCAAAAGCATTCTAGTGATGTGCGCTTTCCATTTTCTCAGGGTTTTTTTTTCCCATTCAAATTAATTATTTAATCATATTAGCCTTTTGCATGCTTAATCAAACATCAAACCATTGAAGTTCAAAGAATTTAGTACATTTTGCCCACCAACTTTAAGTACCTTTTTTAATGAACTCCAAAATTTTCTTTGTGTGTGCATACTTTTTCCCAAAAAATATGGTTTCTTATTCACTTAAAGCCGGCAATCCCCAAGATCATGTGCCTAGAAATCTCAGTTGTGCACGCCGAACAACAAACTGATTTACATGCATTTTGATATTCATTCCATTGACATTGTCTTGTATAGATATTTTCTTGATCATAATAATAGTTGAAGACATTCGAAAAAGATTCACGTTGTTTTAGGCAATTACATTATTAAACCCAGTTCAGTATTATTTAAATATTGCAACTAATCATGCTTCTCATATAGTTCGATGTTGAATCTGGCAGCTGCATTTTCTTGAGACAAACCCTCTTCTGCTTAGACTCATATATTTTGGGATTTCTACTGCACTTTTTTGAGTTGGAAACCAACTGAACTTTACCTTTAATCAGTATAAGATTATAAAAAAACAAGGGCTTTTGATTGTCTTCATATGGAAGGGGACCAGGAATAAATAATCCACGGTGGTTACTTTGTTTTCAATGGATTAAAATGGAGAGCATCATGACTTAAATGCTTCCACAATCTGCAATTCCAGTTTCTGGAGATTGTGTTGTTTACTAGTAGTCGTACAACTGTGATTCTCTTATAATATACAACAAATGATTGGATTTTGAAGACCAATAAGAAATAAGTTAGTTGTAATTTAATCCATTATATATCTCTTAAATCTTACAATTTAAGATCCAAAGGTTTGGTTTAAAGTTTAAAAACAGTAAAATGAAAGACTTAATTAATTGGCTGCTACTTCTGCCAATGGGTATCCGTATTATGTAACGTGAGCGAGTCATGAATAAATTCCAGCAAGTCTTTTTCTCTCTCATAATAACCAAAGTTTTATAAATAATCCTCTCATGTGCAATTTATGGTCAACGAGTTGCAGTTCGTGCACTGGGTCACCTAGCCAGCCATGAGAGAACCTTTGAAGCTGTTGCCTTGCATGAAGTAGAGATCATAGAATTGGCAAAGGAAATAGCTTGCAATTGCTTCCAAGTGGTGTATGAAAAATTTCTGAGCCTGAAAGAAAAGAAGAGAGTGAGTTATCACTGTGATTTGCTCACAAAAGGGCTTGGAGGGTTGGAGTTAGAGAGCAGAAAGGCTGAAGAATGGGCTAGTCAACTTCAATGTTGGTCTCTCCATCTCTTGAACTGCTTTGCATGCAAAGAAAGGTCTCTCAATCTCATCTGCTGTAAAGAGTTCTTGAAAATCGCGTGTAATTTATGGGGCGGCTTGGCTAATCACAGGTCACCTGCGGGTATTGGGCTGATAAGAACACTTTGTCACACCCAAAAAGGAAGAGAAAGGGTAGCCAGATTGAAAAAAGTAATAGAGAATCTTTGCAATGTGTCAAGATCTTCAGATGATTGGCAGTACTTGGCCATTGATTGTCTTTTGCTACTTCTCAAAGACCCAGTTACAAGATATCAAGTTATAGACTTTGTAGCTTTGTTTCTTGTTGATTTAGTTGAACTTAAAACCCTCAGAAGAGGACAAATAGTTGGGGAAGCAATCACACAGACACTCTTACAAGATTACCATAAAATCAAATACGGTAACTTGAAGTTAAAGAGCAAGAAAGCTGAAAGAGCAGTGGAGGAAGTTTGGGATTTGAAGGTGGAAAAAAGAAAGAAAGAGAAGCTCATGCCAGAACAAGATTTGAAAGAGAAACAACTCTTAGTAGGTAAGTTGAAGCAAGAAGGTAACGAGGAGTTCTGGTCTGGTTACATTGAAAAGGCTGCGAAAAAGTATACGGAGGCTTTGGATTTATGCACAGTCTTGAAGATGAGGAAAGAGAGGGTTGTTCTTTATAGCAATAGAGCTCAGTGTTATTTGTTGCTAAAGAAGGCAGAAGCTGCCATTAGTGACACAACAAGAGCAATATGTTTATCCAGTGAGTTGAGGTCTCACAGTAAGAGTTTGTGGAGAAGATCACAGGCGTATGACATGAAAGGATTAGCCAAAGAGAGCTTGGTGGATTGCTTAACCTTCATCAGTAGTCGCATGAAATCTAAACATCCCAAAACCAAGCCGGTCAAGATCCCATACTACGCGGCACATATGATCAACAAGCAGATGAATGCCACGTGTCCTTTCAACGGTGCCAATTCTAAGACGTATAATAGAGACAAAGAAAAAGTAGAACAATCCAACGGACAAGAGCAAGACCTCGACAAGGACATGGCGATTCACAAAAAGAATGCTCCGGGTAGGTCCAAATTTTATTCAACGTATATATTTTTGTGAGATTCAAAGCCTCTGGTAAGTGTATTGATGGGGATTCTTGTACAGGTTTGCCCACCAATTCCAGTATTGAAGAATTGTTGATTGAGAATGGCTGGAAAAGAAGAAAGGCCGAAAGGGCAGGACGACGAAGGAAAAAAGGAATTAGAGTGGCTGTGGATTCACACAAATCAGAATGTAAAGATTTTCCATAAAATATAAATAGTTTTGCATTTACGATAACAGTATTTGAATGTATACTAATCATTTAATCTTATGTTTCTTTTAAGAATGGTTTTATCTGTTGAGTTGATTAAGAAGATAGAATTTTACTTTAGATATACCAATTACAATTATGTGATCTCTATCACCTAATCCCACTACCTTGCACTTTGGAAGATTTGATAAGTTTGAATTTGGTATCGTACCTAACTCACTAATTATGCTTTAAACAAAGATCTAAAATACTAAAATAATGTTTATATGTGGAAATATCCCAAAAGTTTATTGCTTTTTGTCTTAATCTCCTTGGGCGTTAGGTAAATCTATTGTTGAAATTTTGCAAAAGAGTAACCACATTCTAGAGAACTATTTGATTTGCTGAATAATTGATTGTAGAACGTAAATGCAATGTTTTAATAATCAACTCGCGGTGAAACCGACAAAGTTGTTGGGTCCCAGGTTGACTGGTTTTATTGGTCGGTCAAACCGAGTATCAAAAAGTTTAAAATGAAGCAAATACACCCCTAAAAATTTGTTAGATCCCTAGAGGTTTGAAATTTAACAAACACACTCCAAGGTAGTAATCCCAATCATTCCTTGAGCCAATTCCTCGAAAAATCTACCCAAGATCTGATTCAATTTCGACCAGATCTCACCATCGCCAACATCAACAACCCAAGTCAGATCTCACCATCGCCAATGTTGACAACCGTCCACATCACCACGAATTTACTCCCCTCAACCTCTTGATCAATGCCCATCTCACCCCACCCTCATTCGCCTCGCCAATCGTCGACTGTTGTCGCTACCAGTTTTTTTTTATTTCCAATTGATTCACTTACCGAAAATCACCACCGTCACCATCGTTGCACTCACCAACCCTTCCTCTTCAAAAGCTCCAACATCTCGACTATCAATTGTTCATTGATCATTATCACAATTTTTATGGTTTTCAATGAATAAGGAAATTGGTAACCCTACCCAATGAAGGCCCTGAGTCCCAGTTCAACTAGCTGGGCTGCACTGGGTTTTAAAACAAGGAAAATAATAGACACCGAGAGTAGTGCATCGAATCTGTACACCGAATAACGTGACATAATCCTGACCGTCGATTAATTATAACTTAATATTAATCGACGGTCAAGATTTCGTCACGTCATTCGACGCACATTCGGTGTACTACTCCCGATGACTATAACATTACTATTAAAACAATGCTTTAATTTCTTAATATGAAAAAGCAGCAATCCGTGGTTATGCTTGCTACATTTGGCTTTCCTCACAAAAATCTGCTTCAAGTTTTAAATTTTTAATTAGAAAGGAATTGATTGTTAGGTCAACATGGATGTGGCACATGAAAATAAAGACTTTAACATGGTGCTATACTTAAGTACCGAAAGCATTTCTTCACAGCAAATAGTAAATGGAAACAAAATTTAAATTACATTTGCGCATAATGAACTTTATCACTCCAAAGAGAACAAAATATATCATGTTAGATGGTGAAATACAGACACATTATATACAATCACGTGCTATCATTTCCATTATAAATTCAAGCTTCTACAATAAATATTCTCTTACCAATCAATTTTTCATTTTCTGGGCCCATCAACTGCTGCAGTTTACTTACCTCTTCAGTTACGACAAGCTCAATCGTCATATGAGCTCAGAGCAGCTACGACTGATCCAGTTGTTGCAAAAGTTGATGAGACGTCAGGATAATCTTTCCAGGATGTTGAAACCTTAAGTGATGGATACAACCAACTCTTGACAGAATCCACAAAGGCGTTAGGTTCAAAGTTTAAAATGGCTTCCCAATCCACCTGTACACCTTTAGGGATTTGCCCTGAGAATTCCATATTAGCAGCAAGGAACAAACCAAGCAACACCACAAACCCAACAGCAGCAGAGCCTCTTGAAAGTGGCATAAAATTGTACCTGAAAGTAATCCATAATTTTGTGTAAAGAATCACATCTTATCAATAAACACCATTTCCAATTCATTGAGTGTTCGATGTAATACCAGTAATATGTCATCCTTAAGATTGCATCTCTCACATTTTCAAGAACACTGAAATCCGTAGACCCATAATTGTCACCACAATAAGCATTGCATACAGCCTGCAACATCACAGCGTCACAGTTAATAAAACTAAGCCATATTAACTGAATAAAAGTTCCTACGTCTGATGCACTGAGTGAAAAAACTTTATAGCATTTTCTAAGGCTGATAATTACTCGTGGCTGAGAAGTTCACAGACCAGCAGACTTCCTATAGATGCACTATCAGAGTCTGTGAAAATACTCCACTTAAGCACTGAAGATTAAGTAGAGTTGGGAGAAAAAGTACAAATACACGCCATGGTATATTCTTGAAGTCCTTGTTATGAACCAGTCATTTCTTACACACAATGAGTTTCCTCTAACAATAAATTTTGAGAATCAGGCACCTCATTTGGATTGGTGAATTCACATAGGTTAAAACTATAATAATCCATCATTTCAAATGGTATAGGAGTTGTCACTTGTCAGAGCCAGAACCCTATATCAGTAACATTAAAGAGTTACAGAATGATAGGAAGCGAAATGGACCAGAGTAGGGTTAACATACAATTTCAGCAGAACTTCCAGTGACAAATGACTCAATAATTGGGTCAAGCACCTCTAGACATCTAATCACATCTAAGTATTCAGTAGTCCACTTGCAAGAAATATTGTCAAAAGTGGTCAGAGACTCAGAGCAATAACACCATAGAAGGTATACGAACTTCAGAAGACGTGTACATGGACTTGCACCTTTCAATTTATCCTTCTTTAAATGATGAACACGTTTGTCATGAGTGTGGCAAAATTATGTCTATTTAAAGCAGCAAGAAATATTTTCAAAAGTGGTCAGAGAGAAATATGCTGAAGAAAGATACAAAGCTCATGTTTGAGGTCCTGCATAACTTACTTCCCATGCCATGGTCATCTCTCCATCAAACTCATCCCATCTAGAAGGGGTACAAGGTGTTCGAATTGCAAAGTCATATCCTATTTCTCCCCTGTAAAATTGTTTGACCATTATCAAATAACAGAAGAAGGGTATATGCCATAAATAAATGGAAAATACAAAGAAATAATCAAACGGGGAAACAAGCCAAATAGCTGCAAGTTGACAAATAATTAGATTATTACATTTTGACTAAGGTGATCCTTGTCCCTTCAAGCTGCTTCCTGAAACAAGCATGAATAAGCCAAAACTAGATCAAGGAAGAAGATTAAAACACCGAGAAAATTGTGTTCTAATTTGTATGCAAAGTTACCCCTCAAATGCAGTACTGTTGCACCAAGTGGCCAGCCAGAAGTCCTCCCCAACAACTTTATAAAGATCATCACAGGTTTTTGCATGCATAATCTGTTTATTTAAAATCAGTCAGTCTTACAAGTTCCTTCATTTGATACAAAAAAAATTGTTGAATTCAATTCACACTTTAATGGATTTCTGATATGTTTTTGATGTTGCAACAAAGTCAGATTATCCTACAAGTGCAATCCAAATGTAGCAGCATTTGCAGTGTGATGACATCCTTCAATAACTAAATTTCAAAAAACTTGGAGCCGTGATTGTTAAAAAAGCATAGAGCTAAACTCTAGAAAAGAAAAGAAAAGAGAAAAATTGAAATCAAAATCTTGTTTGTATAATCAAAATTCATATCCACTTTATACTTTTTATTACAATGGAATTGGATCACTCAAAGATGGAACAAAACCTTTAATCATACATTATTCATGAAATAATAGTTAACCATAGTTAACACACAAAACAGGAACAATAAAAGAAAGACATTATCCCTTTTTAGTATTGTGAATTTCTATCTAAGTACTCCCACTCTATGCAGCAGGAAGAGTTGCAATAACAAAACCTTCTTCCTGCTATGGTGACTGATCATTTTAGCTGAAAGTAAATCATTAGTGTACAGTTTGTCAATTATAAAGGGGTACGGGAAGTTTCCAGGAAGGAAAACAATAATTTAAGGAAAGAATACCGGAAGTGACTAAAAGGGACTCACATCTTGCAATTTCCCATCTTTGGAAAGATCAATAATGTCATCTGTCTTGTTGTGCACATACTGTTTATCCTTCATGACAGTCTTTGCAACATTTATTGTTCTGCAACATTAACAGGCATAAGTACAGAAAAAACAACCTTGCTCTGGATTGGAATAGAACTACACTTTACCTTTCATAATTTGAGAAGTAGCGCGCAACTTTTGCTTGACCGAGGATCATTGGTGTGTGAGACCCAAATCCAGAATTAAATTCTTCACTGAATTGAAGACACCCCCAATCATACCATAAAATCAACAAAAGGAAAGACATGAGCCAATCAGTCATTTTCTAACTGGGAAATCATTACCAATAATAAAAAATAAAAAAAGGTGTGAAACTCATCCAAACATTGCCAATTGTTGCTCAATCCAAAAAGGAGCTAAAATTTAGACAAAAGATGCTGCATCATTCCACTATGATAGCAATACTAATTTCAGGTTATTTGCAAAATGGGCAAGGGTTCCACAACCATTCCAAACCCAATAATATGCAAAAATATTTTTACCTAGCTCACTTCTTATGATCAAACATGCAAACTGAGCAAGCATTACTGTACAATGTATAATGTATGCAAATGGGCCAAGCATTATCGTATAATTTATGACTTCACTCTAACAGAGTTTACTTAAATTTATTAGAAATGACAAATAAAAGTCACTTCAACATATTTTGACTGAAATATTCAGTAAAACAAGAACTGCAAAAACCGCAGGAATGGATATGATTGTTTAAGAAGACAAAATGAAGTTGATAGGATATGATTTGTTTCATGACAAGAGACAAAAAATATTAAGAATCAAAGCACATTTTAAGATTCAAATGCTTAACAAAATATAACTTTATAACAGGTAGATTTCAAAAACAATATGATGATGTTAAAAAATGTCAACAAACTACAAAGGTAACACTAATGCATGAAGACAGAATACCTTAACTTGTTAACCCACACAACAGGGTCACAAGGCTCAGAAATCTGCCTCCATCTGACGGCCACTGAATAAACGTCTTGCCATGACATTGTGGGACCAGATGGTCTTTCTTCTGCAATGCCGTATGATGATGTGTCCAACATGCTGCTTGTGCTACAACAAGCACCACCTCTGTTCTGGCTGGCAATATTGATTCTATCTTTCCTCCGGGCTCTCTTTCCATTTTTTGTTGAACTTTTATTAGAATGTTTCCGTTCAGCTCGCAAAGAGCGCCAAACTTTCGAAACCTTCTGAGCAATTTCAATAGCAGCTAATCCTGCCATACGATGCTGACACATAACAGAAGATGAAACATATTAATAGTTACATATTGCTTGCTATATATATATATATATATAGCTACCCCTGTCTCCCTATACTGTTATTTGAACATCTTACATGGTGGGTAAGAGGGGTTTGAAAAGCACAATTATGCATTAAGCAATATGGTCTATTGCCTGATTTGAGTCAATAACCTAGCTAAAGAATGAGACCTCAATGAAAGAAAACCAAAAAAGGAAACCATTTATGAAAACATGAAGGCCTCCCTGCTTCAACAAATACGTGGGTACAAATGAACCGGATAAGTTAGTGGACAACCACCTATACCATTTACAATATTAGAAACAACTCCCATTATCACATGGCACAAGGTACAGGATATTCGGCAGTAGTTTACAATTTCAGACTAGATTCTCAGCATTGACCACTATCCAATGAAATGACAACAACTGACATTCATAAACACCTAAAGTAATTCTTCTTCATTTATTCAGAATGTACCTTTCGCCAAACAAAAACACATGCACTTACAAACAAACGAGAAAGCTAAATCAACAAGGCCATGCCACTAATTCTCAATATATGAGAATCAATTAATCAAACAATTGAACAAAGAAACATTATTAATAACACACACCCACACAAATTTATGTTTGTGAGTATGCATTTAAGTAGAGGCTTTACATTAAGTCTTCAAAAGAGGATAATGCTTTACAAGAATACAATGGGGATATTCAAATGTCATACTTAAAATGCAGAGGTGAAGAAGACTATGAAACAGAAAATAATAATGCACCTTAAACAACAAACACGTTCCTGTCATAGTGATTCACAAAATAAATTACCTGACGCCTATTGGATAAGAAGCCAGGAACATCGTATTGGATTTTCTTGCCAATTGAATCAGCAGCCAGTAGAAGAGCAGTCTTCTGCTTTGTGACAGCAAAATCTTGTTTCCTAAGCTTACCCTTTTTCAAGGAATCTCGCAGGGGAGGCTGTCTGTAAACCTTTTCACATACATTTTTAGGGTGCAATCTTTTGCACCAATATTCCTGAGAATTCCATACAGAAGGAACAGCATGGGTAAGGAGCTAAACTACTAGAATGATTAAAAGCATTTTTAATCTACAGAACTTGCGACATAAAACGAGTTTCTGTTTGCAATCATCATAAATCCCACATTGATGCACGCTTATGCCATAAGAAAAATCAAAACCTCCCTGTCCCTCACACACATGCTAGGGCACACATATCTACGGCTTCTCGGTTTCTGCCTTAACTCAAAGCCACAAATGATTATGAGATAGGGATCACCAATCAAAGCAATTACACTCTCAAAAGCATATTACCTTGAAGAGTGGATCAATATCTCCATCAATGTCAAACCAGCAAAACTCACTGTTGATTTTAGAAGCTGTGTATAAAGCAATCTCCTTCTGCAAAAGAAGAAAAAGGAATAATTAGAAATAAGGCTAGCATTAAGTTTAAATCAAATCGTAGTTTAAAAAAAGGGCAAGGTGCGTCACAAATAATTTCTTCAAATGTGGAATTTTTTACACATACAAACATGCAGAGAGAGAAACAAAAACGATGTCCAAGTTCCATTCAGTATATTCAGTAATTGCCCCATACATGATTATATAATAACATGAGAAAAAGGAAGAAGAATGGAACAGAGAAGTCACAATAGTTCAAAAAGGGTAAGAGATTTATTTGAGACGACACAAAGAAAATTTGTAGTAAGAAAAATGAAGATAAGTTATGAAGGATAAGCTCACCAACTAAAATAATGATAAGCTGTCATAAAACCCAGAAAGGGTTTCAAATACAATACAAAGAAGAAAATGTCAGTTGACCAGTCAAACAAATAAAACCTCTTCCAAGAATCAAAAAAGCCTATTCCAGATTAGGCTATTGAAGTTTCTCAATTTTGAAGAATAAAGAAGAATGAGAATTCCTTTAATTACAAGGATTTGGAAGCCAAATATTCTCTTTGTCCCACAAAGTTGAAATCTCTTCTCAAATGTCTTCAAAAGTTATGTTCCTTTGCAGCCATAATACACAGAATAGCCATAACAGCAAAGTCCCACAATAGACTAGCCTTCCTATTAACCTTCATAGCTATATACCTTACTACTGAAGCCAAAAAACAGGAAGAGGGTACTGCCTAGAATATCCTAAATTCATTGGCCACATTATTCCGCAAGCATGCAAAGTAAAGAATATTGACATTCACGCACAGTCTCTATACACATATATCATATTTCGTGTCAAAAATAACTTAAAAGTTTTAAACATCATGCATGAAATTAATCTGTCAACATTGTTTTGATTTAAAATATTTTTTTATACCAAATGGCTCGCATCAGTGGACTACATGTAACATGTGCTCTTTTTACAACAAAGTAGATACACTGTCCAATATTTTAGTCAACTTTTTCTTTTATAGTCATCCAAAAATTTTGGTTCACAATAAAAAGTCTATGGCTATGAGTTTTAAAATTTATTATTACACCCTTTTCTGATATGTAATTACATAAGACTGAACATATAAATACATTCATCATGTTTTTCTGCTAATGTGTTCTAGTCCAAAGTGGAACAAATTGGAGTGAAGGAAGAGGTTTCTGAGCTGGTGCAGGCCTTGGTCAATGGTTGACATGGAGCCAGCCCCTTGGTTATCTCATTCCAGTTTCTTTATATATGAATAAGAATAAGACAAAACCAAGTATTACCTTTTAAAGGTCAACTCGTGTTAAGTCCAGCTAAAAAAAATCAAAAGGTAACTTATACCTAACCTACAACTGCCAAACAGCAGTTGAGACCACTCCAAAGCCATCAGTTGCACAAAACAAAAAGCAAAGAGAAGATAAATAATGCACAAAGCCATGTATAAGCGAAACACTCATATTCAAAGTAACAACTTTAAATTTATGGTTCAAGAAAAGGTTCTAGGTTAAACTAATGGAGTTACTATAAGACTACTACTAATGACATGCTTAAGGCATGAAAAATCCAAATGGTATGCAATGGCTTCCCAAGAGCCTGTTTGGTTGGGCTTACCTACTTGTCAAAAGAGATTATTTAAAGCAATATGCACTTTTGAAATTTTTTAGTTTATTTGGTTGCATCAAAGTGCTTATAGGATTTTAACTAAAATATTTTATGGCTTATGGAAGAAGCTTAAATTTTGAGCTTCTTCCATAAGCTATTTTTGAGGTTATTTAAAGTATTGAAATTCCAAATATATCCCCCTCCTATTTCATAAATTTGATTTATCCTTTCTTATATTATGAAGTATTTTTTAGTAACTTAAGACTTCATAGCTCTTTTACATTTTTCTAACCAAACAATTAACAATTTTTTCATAAAAGCTCTACTTTTATAAGCTCTTTTCTAATAAGCTCTACTTGAATAAGCCGTACCAAACGCACCCCAAAAGAAAATACAAAAAAATAAAAAAGACACCTAGGCACATTTATTAGACATCATAATATTTCATATTGATCCAAACCTGATAAAAGGCCAGGCATTGAAGCACAAATTTCTCCATTGAGTCTAGTTCCAAATCCAATGCAGCATCATAATCCTTGACCTGTAACCATCAAATCCAAGTTAGAAACTCAATGCAAAACAGCAACATATAGGTGCTTATTATCTAAGCAATCGACATATAATAACTATAAAAGATAAACTCTTTATTACCGCCTCTCTATATTGTCCAGTAGCATGGTAACAAGAAGCTCTCAAGTATAAGCACTCAATGTTTGAGGGCTCAATGCTTAACCCAGTGGATAAATCCTTTACTGCTTTCCTGAAACGGTCAATTTGAGTTGCTAACAATATATAAACCCATTGCTGATGAGGAAACATCCTTATAAATCATCAAGTAGTATATCTTACAAAGTTAAAAAATTAATGTTGATCACTGCAGCCTCAAGTAATTATGATGAGCAGATTGTTTGGTTTCGGTTGGGCATTCCAAACAGTCACTGATAAAATTTTAGACAAGAAAAAAAAAAAAAGACATTTGTCTAGATGCAAAAAGAATGTTTACTATGCAATTTCAGGTTGGGAATAGATAAATGCTGATCCTTGAGAGTTGTGCAATAAGGAAATTTTAGAAGCTATATGTAGACCTGGCAAACGGGCGGGCCAGGCGAGTACGGGTGGGTAACAATAGGCACAGGTCAAATGGGTAAAAAATGTGAACGGGTAAGGAAATACATCACCCATACCCGGTCATGCAGGTACAGGTGGACCCGCGGGTCACCCATTTCTTTTATTTTTAAAAATTTTTCCTCTCCAGTTTTTTCTTTATTATTTTTCAGTTCCACATATTTCTCTTTCATCTTCGTCTTCTTCTTCTCTCTCTCTCCAATTCCTCTTCGTCTTTTTCTCTCTCCACTTTTTCATATTTCTTCTTCTTCTCCCTCTCTCCAATTCTTCTTCGTCTTTTTCTCCCTCTCCACTTTTTCATATTTCTTCTTCTCCTGTTCGTCTTCTTCATCTTCCTCTCTCCAATTCTTCTTCGTCCTTTTGTCCCTTTCCACTTTTTCATATTTCTTCTTCTTCAGTCTTCACCCTTCCAATTCTTCTTTGTCTTCTTCTTCTCCCTCTCTCCTATTGAAAAGAGCTTTAAGTTTTTTCCTCTCCCATTTTTTTCCTTTGTTCTTTGTGTCTCATTTTCCATTTTCCCTTTGTCTTTTATAAACTAAATATACGATAGATCTATAATCTCCATTGCAACCACTGGTGAGGGTGAGCATGTTGGCGCCGTGGAAGGCTACCAGAGAACGACAACCACTTCACAGCTTGATCCATGCCTTCTCTTGTTGATTTGTGGGTTTATTTTTGTTGGTATGAATGTTGATTTGTGGGTTTATCTTTCTTGGTAGAAAATATTTGTTCATCCGTGGGTTTACGAGAGGAGAAAATGTGATATTATTGATTTGTTGTTTGGGATTTAAAGAAATTGTTGATTTCTTCTTCTTTAGTCTTCACTTCACCCTTATTGATTTTTATTTTATTTTGTGCAGATACCCGCAGGTATCACGCAGCTTACCCGTGAAAATAATGGGTAGGCCAGGTACAGGTAATATTCCCACGGATCCTAAATACATTAACCTGTACCCACTAAAACTACCCGGGTACACGCAGGTATATTACCCGTTTTGCTAGGTCTAGCTATATGGTTGCCGATGTTCATTCTACAAAAGCCTAATCAATCCAAGAAATGCATTCACAGATGAGTGAGAATGCATAAATAGGAAAATTTGTACAGAGTTGGCTTTTTAAATCAAGTGGATTGTTTTTGATGCAAGGGTACAGAGCTATTTTTGTTTACAGTACATGATATTCTTTGAGGTTTAACTTGTTTTATATTGATTCAGATACACCTTTCCAGAGCGTTTTGGATCTCCAGTGGCCATATGGTCCACCAAAAAAACTTCTTTCTTCAGTTAATATATATGTTTTCCTTTTTCCCATCACCAACTGTATTTCGAACTTATCAACATAAACAGCTTATGCAACCCCTATATAGGTCCCTCCCAGTATGTTCTCCCCATACATGCCATTCAAATATTATACTTCCCTAACTGTTTTGGTAAACCTACTACTAAATATTCTAAGATTATTTTAGTATTACACAAAGCATATGGTCCAGAGATAATGAAAACAATCATGGGTAGAAATAGCCATGTTAGATTAAAAAAAACAAACCATTCACAAGAAAACCAACCAATTTAACTTACCTGTGTTGTCCCATCCCATGGAGCAATAACCCACGCAAATGATATGCTTTTGGAAACCTATTATAAAAAGCATAAATACAGTCAAGTATAATTTATGTGAAAGTACCAGAGGTGAGAATAAGTCAGGCACCAGAATATCAATGTGAACAACTTATATATAGAATTGGCCACAGAGTTTAATGACAAAAGCTACCTCTCGTCAATCTGTAACATTTGTTGAAGGCATTCCAAAGCCTTTGTTGAATTTGCCAGATCTTGGTAAAACTGCAGGAAACCATAAATTGATAACAATATTTGATGAAGCTGTTATGCACAGAAAACTAGTTATTTTAAGAACAGTATGCACATTTTCCTATAGATGATAATAGGTTAGATCTTAAAAATTGATAGGATTCATTGCTAAAAGAGTGCACCACTGCTTAAATATAGAACTTTCACAGTCAAAAATTCTTGTCAAGAATATATATATCTTGTCAGAAATTGCTAGTAAAGACCATGTCTCCTGTCCCTGACAATCAAGGGTGACAAACTATGCAATGAAAATATGAATGACAAAGATTTGAGTGACTATTTCATGGTTACCGTTGTCATATGACCCCATCCCTCAAGAAAATTCCGATCAAGTTGGATTGCTTTCAAATGTGTCTCCTCAGCCTTTTTGTATTCACCAATCATAGATAATGCCAAACCCTATGGAAGTCAATGTCCACCCAATGAGCATTAAAAGAGCACAAATTAATTGGATTCTAGAAACGGCTAAGAAGTTGACTACTCACCCAATATGTATATGCAGACTTGTTATCCATATCAAGCTTCACACATTCAGATAGATCTCGTACAGCAGCACTGTAATCCTTAAACTTAAAATTAACAATACCTGTAATAATTACAATCAACCGATCACTTGTATGTGAGTAATGCTCACGGTTTTAGATTACATATAAAGAGCGATGTAACTGCAAAGCATGACATGGAAACTTTACACATTTTATTGTTAGAGTTAGTTAATAGGCTAGATTGTGGGTGTATTTTTGTGTTTTAGCTGTTAATTTTATTTAAGATTCAGCTTTATTTATGAGCCAATTGTTAAGTTCCATTTTACATTCGGGTTATACAAGTCTTTTAAATTTTCCTCTTTGTAGGCAATTAGTCTTTAAAGAGATATTTTAATTATTACAATATATTGTATAGACTTTAATCTTCAGATATTTTACAATGCAAAGAAGTAGATAACCATTAGTAGCAGATGTTCCAAATATAATATAAACAAAAATAAAAGCCTCTTTTCATCAAAATTAATTAAGCGAAAAGAGAAAACAGAAGATGAAAAAATGGAACAGAAGTGTGTAAAGTTTGTAATGCCACAATGACAAAGTTGGATAATAATAAAAGGCAGTAAAAAAGCTTGTTCAAATAGTTACCCCGTTCATGCAATATATCTGCTGAATTTGGCTCAAACTCTAATGCCTTGGTCAAGTCTTCAATTGCCTGGCATCAGGAGGCAATTAAAAGTAAACTGTGTTATAAAGGGTTAAAGCAAGCCAACAAACTTTCATTTAGTTCATAATAAATCAGAAGTCTTGTGTAATAACGAGCTTGAAAGATTCAGTTATTGTCTCAGAAGTAACAAGTATACTATTGAGCATCTCTTTGCCAGTTAGGTTAAGTCTTTCTGGTCAAATTTTCAGTAACTGCAGATTGAAGTTACTGGGCCGTGCATAAGAACAGGCACAGCATCTAGCAAACCTTAATAAAAGTTTTGCAAACGTAAATTATCATCTTGCCCTAATAACAATTCTCTAGAAAAAGATCAATCCAAAAATGGCAAAGACAGTAACATTTTTAAAGATTAGTATGCATCACTCTGACCTCAACGGATTCTCCTAAGGCAGCACGAGCCTGCCCTCTCCGCTTCCATGCCTCACCAGCTGATGGGTTTGATTGAATAGCCTAAAACATTAATCACACAAGCCAATCAGAAAAGCCAGTATATTTTAAATACCAATCATATATTGACAATTCAAGAACCTTTGTAAAATCAGCAATAGCAGCTTCCAGTTCTCGTTGGAACGCGTACGCTGTTCCTCTTCCTATTAGTGCCTCAGGATACATAGGGTTTTCTTTCAATATCTGTTTATAAAATATTTTCAGAAGGTTATCATAGAACTTGATGATGGCCTAAAAATACTGATGATCAGCCCTAGCCTTTCCAATCCACTCACCTTCCAACAACAAGGTATAAATGAACAGAAAAATGCACCACAAATACAAATTCCCACAAGACAAAGAAACTACTAACAATACTCATAAGATTCAATATTTTACCTGGTCAAATATTGATACAGCATAAGCATATTTCCCTTCATTTACCTGCAAAGAAACTAGATTGTCGTATCAGAAGGTTTATCTGGATTAAAACATTTAACCCAATACAAATTATAATTGTCTTTGACCACCAAATCATAAACAAATACCAAAAATACCTGTGCTATTCCCCTTGATAGTCGGAAATCTACACTAATTGACTTGGTTTTCGAAATTCTAGTAACACTAAACTTTTTGTTTCTCTTGGCTTCATCACTTGTTTCACTTGTGCTGATGCAACTTAAAGGTGATTTACCACGCGATATAGTTGTAGTTTTTAATTCTTTAAACGATTCAGAGTCAGATCTTGGTTTATCATGAGTTCCATTCATTTGGCTATTCAGCTTCTCATTAGCATTGGCTTTGTCACTAAAGCCATTGCATATGTCGAACTCATCAGGAGAATCACTTGACACATAAATTATTTCAGATTCGTCATTTAAACCATTGCGATTCTTAGAAGTTTCAATTGATTTGCCATTGCTATGAAGCCCTAACTCAAGTTCAGGCATAGACAACCTCCCACTTGCTTTATCACTCATTTCATTGCATATGTCAGTATTATCTCTAGACTTGCTGCAGATCTCAGGTGTATCACTGGGCTGATAGCTTGAACTAGACGAATCAGATTTATTCAGGTTCTCACATTTTTCATCAATTTCAGATTTATCCAGATTCTCATGTGTTTCGCCTGTTTTTCCATTGACATATGTCCCTGATCCAGATGTTGGTACAGATGGCCTGGAATCTACCACATCGTTTTCACGGGTAACACTTGTGTCTTGTTTTGCAACTTTCAAAAGTTCCTCAAGTTCTAGCAATTGCTTCAAATCCGCAGACTGACACAAAGCATGCTCATATCCTTTCTCCCAAACCGAAAGAGCATCCTCTTTCCTCCCCAGAGCTAAAAATGCACACCCTAGAAGAAATAAAACAATAGACTAGAGTAAAAGCCCCAATGAAAGATTATCAAGTATACTACTTAGTTTTGAATAGATAATAACAACCGTTATCTAACTGGTTCCTGGGACGCATCAATTGGAAAACGAAAGACAAACAAACAAACAGAATATCCTATAATTGCACAGAATGGCATCATTAGTAGCAATGACATACATAGATTGAATCTGCAGATCTTCTTGGGCAAGATGAGAATATATTTTTCTGGTTTCATAATTGTTACATTATCTTTTGATGTTTAACTTTGTAACAAGAAATCAGACTTAATTTCCAATTTCAGAAATAAAATAAAAGGACAAAAAGTTTATGCTTTCAATACTATATTAGCAGTTACCGTGAACTTTTATACCCTCACATACACAGATCATTCTCCAACTGGTCGACACATTATCTATATCCAAGAAAATTTTAATATGTAAATGCCCCTTTCTGCTTTATATAACACCATGAAAATCCTATAAGTAGCAGATGTAATATGACACAGTCCCTGTAGAACAAATAACTAACCAAAATTATGGACAAGAAAATTAGTGACTTCGAATTTAGAGTTAGATGTTCATAACATCATTCATGCAATCATAAGCTACTACTGTGCTAAGGAATCTAGAATAAAATATGAAGAGGAAAAACCATCATAAATAAACGGTGGATTTCGTTAAACTCTCTTGGGGTTTGGCCGAATCAAGTGAGCCCTCCTGATATGGACAATGAGCAGAGACCTATGCGAGGTTTCCAATAAATTTTATAAAACTTCAGTGGATGTCTTTGGCAATTTTAAGGGAAAAATCATTGTTTCATAAAAAAAATTCTGACAACTTTTTTGAAACAAGAGGTGTTTATCCATATTCTAGTTAAACCTCTTGGGAGGCCAATGAAATTTTCACTCATAAAAAGTGAACTAAATTTCATGAACTAATGCAGTATTTTGATCGAAACGTGATGCACAATCGTTCAAAAACAGCCGCAATTGAACTAAATTCAACTGCATCAGAATAAAGAAAAACAAATGTAACAGTCTTAACAGTTGCTTCTAGCAGAAGTCAAACTATACATTTCGCAAGTAACTATATGTTTATAAGTTCAATAAATTTCCTAAATTAAACTCCATTATCACAATCAATAATAAAAAGACATAAAAACAAGTCAAAACGACATAAAACTCCGAAATTGATGAGACAAAGAGACTAAAAGAGACCTTTGAGGATATAAGCTTGAAGAACAGTAGGGTCAAGCTGAAGCGCCTTGTCACAGTCCTTAATCACGTGCTTATGCAACTCCAGTTGACTATAACAAAACGCTCTATTGCTGTAACGAAACCAAAATCCACATTTTTCACATCATTGACATCAATCGAAAAGAATTAATGAATAAAATAAGACCAATAAGGCTGGAATCGGAAACTTAAGTTAAAAAAAAAAAAAGAATGTACACACCAGATATCCTGAACTACACAGGCCTGAGCGAGGAGCGAGTCAAGAACCCGGATAGCCTTCGACCAGTTTCGTGAGCTGCAGAGCTTGGCTAGCTCGACTCGCTCGGAGGCAGCTGAGGCCATCGCTTAGTCAACGTGAACGAGTTCGTCAATTTTTTCACAGATCGATTTATCAATGTGTGTGTGTTTGTTTGGTCTCAACGATTTTAGATTAAGGGAAGGGGTAAAAAGGGAAAACAAAAAGGTAAAATGTGACCACGAAGAACAAGTTTGGGGAAAGAAAGCAAAAGCAAAAGCGAAACAATGGTAGAGACTAGAGAGAGTTTACTCAAGTTTAACACGTGTAACAGAAGAGGCTTAACGTGATTGGATGAGTTTCACACTTAAGCCTTAGACTGTTTTATGCTATTTCATTTTTTTTTTGCGATGAGATGTCACGGCCCGGCCTGGCATGGCCCAAGCTACTTCTGACTCCTTATGTTTCGCTTGGCTGGTTTCTTATATTTCCTACCCATGGACCATGGTTTCATAAATTCCAAATGCCCCTATTTAAATTAACACAGTTAGTCATTTTTTGGTTTTGACGCAAAATAGCAAGTGTTATTATCAAACTATGCTTGATAAATAAATTAATAAATTATTTTTTAATCTCCAAACTAGTAGAATTGAAAAAATAATCATCTTACTTTCAATTTTATTTTAATAATACCCTATTCTTTAACCTTCATTTTCTCCGTGACGGCCAAATCTCGGTAGCCAAATTGGCCGTCGGGATCTTCTCTCTCTCTCTCTCTCTCTCTCTCTCTCTCTCCTTATCTTATCTTCTCTTTGCTCTTCCTCTTTCTCCTTTCCTCTTCTCCGTGCTATCTCACAACTCAACCTTTCCTGTCGTCATGTCGAGGCCCTTTTGCATGCTAGGATGCACTATTCGTTGTGCTAGGCGTGCGATAGTGTGCTGCATCGCACGACAACACACCTGTATCGTATGATTGGGCTCTTCATGCACCCCCACCTCCGTCGCACTTCCTCTGTCCCTAGTTAGCATCAGATATGTGCGCTCTTACCTCGTCTATGCATTGACGCCCATTCACGTAGTCATTTGCATGACCTAGTGCCACGTTTTGTTTGCGATGGTGTTGGTGGTGGTGAAGTTGGAGACAAAAAGGAAGGGTTGTGTTGTGAGAAAATTTTGAGATGTGAAGGGTTATTTTGAAATTTTATTAATTTGGAGGAGTGAGCGAGATTAGGGTTTACTATTTTTTGGATTAAAAAACCTAAACACCTTTTCACCGTTACATTAAATTTTTTTTTTTTTTTGTTAATTTTAAAGTGAGAATCTAGAATTTATAAAACCATGGGTAGGAATTTGGAAATTCGACAAACCTTGGCTGGGTAAACGTCGTTACTCATTACAAAATTATGTACACTTTAATTTTTGAGTACCAAAGGAATATGTTGCAAAGTTGATATTATCTTCTCTCATTTTACAGGTTACATGATCTCTTTCTTTTCTAACAAGAAAAGCAGTTAGAAAAATATCTCCTCACTGAAAGTTGAGTAAAGTCGCCACTGAATCCATATCATGAACTTGAGTGCCAATATGTCAGATATGTNTAGGAATTTGGAAATTCGACAAACCTTGGCTGGGTAAACGTCGTTACTCATTACAAAATTATGTACACTTTAATTTTTGAGTACCAAAGGAATATGTTGCAAAGTTGATATTATCTTCTCTCATTTTACAGGTTACATGATCTCTTTCTTTTCTAACAAGAAAAGCAGTTGGAAAAATATCTCCTCACTGAAAGTTGAGTAAAGTCGCCACTGAATCCATATCATGAACTTGAGGGCCAATATGTCAGATATGTAATAGATATACAATACCACATTTTTCTTCTATTAATTTTAAGCAAGACAATGAACTATAATATTTGTTAAAATGGTAATCAGCGGTGCACTAAGATTTCTTACTGACTTTGCAAGCAAAGTCGAGTGAAAGATTCTTCAACAAAGAAAGTGAAAGCAGGAGCAGCAGATATCTTGAAGTCAAGCTTCGTTAAAGATACAAACCAAACTTCGAAAAAGCAAGAATGGCACTTGGGCTATACACTATGCAGCAATTAAAGTGAAAGTATTGACGACAAAAATGGAAGAAATGTTGAAAGTTTCTTTGAAAAATATGCATTTGCATTTTGCACCTTTGACAGTGGCTTGGATGGACTTGAGAATTTTCACCAACTTTTTATTTTCTTTGCGGGAGGCATGTGATTGACCACCCAAATTGAGGGAAATTTGTCAAAGCAATCATAATGATAATGTTTGTCACTGTGTTAGCAATTAAGTTGGACATTTACAACCCATTTCTTTTCCTTTTTTTCATTATTCTGCAAAAATGTTGTATGTATAGTTGATAACAACACAATATTAAAATCCTACTGCAAATGTTTGTGGCCGTATTTGGATTACATGACCTGTTATGACTTTTTTTCTGCTTTCTGGTGGAGGCTATAGATTTATGTGCATAGAAGAGTGGGTTGAGAAATGAGTGATGGGGCCTAACCCAAGTGCAAATTACAGACTGCCCTTCACATAGTAACATGGGCTTGAAAAGCCCATATTCCATACACAACTATGCTTTATGTCATCCAATGAAACAATTTGAACAAAAATAAGTAGAAAAACACACAAGATTTGGAAGGAATGCCTCGTTGTTAATACTACACTTATAATTCAATCTCACAAATTTTCTCTCATAATTCTGACGTAATAGTTTATAATTGATTAGCTCACAATAGATCTCATATATTCAATTATAAATGAATCAATTACGAACTATCACGTTGAAATTATGAAATTTTTTTATAAAATTAGTTTGTGGGTGAATCTTTATTAATGCCTAGTAGATTAAAATTAAATGATGCCTAGTAGATTAAAATTAAATTGAGATTCACCACACACTAAACAATTTTAAACACGTGAGACGTGTTATGTTATTTGTCAAACATCTCCATTCAGTTTGTCCCCTTTGATACGCCGCCTTGCGGCCGATAGAAATCAGATACCGTAATTGCCTCCGCACACACACTGACAAAGATCTTCCGAATAAGAGGGTAATTACAAGTTCCAAATGTCCTAACTCTCAAGTAATGAAATTGCTGATAACAAAGTTACAAAAGACAAAAGCGCAAGGCTTTAAAGTCTCAGAAACGATAACAACAATAAAACTACCGGACACCATAACTAATAATTAACACATACAATTACAAAGAAGGAAAATTCATATCCTTTACTTTGTTTGACATTTCACATCACTGTGCAATATTCTGACGGATGTGTCTAAGCAACACAGGAATAACAGTATCCGGCGAGCTCAACTGCGGCAAATGGCCGTCCGACGACATCACTTCAACTATGGAATCACCTACGATGTTCCGGTGAAGATATTCGGAGACCACCACCGGCACGGCCAAGTCCTTCATACTTTGGATAATGTGACAGGGCACAGTCACTAGGCTTAGAATTTGCCTCATGTCACTTTGGAATATGGTTTGTGCCACACTTAAGGCTATGTCTGGTCGCATGTTGAATAGGGTTCGACTGAATTCTTGAACCGCCACCGATTCCATGTCCCCGCCGACGGCTAGTGGGGCAAACCCTGAACACCATGCCTTGTAATTGGACTGCATGGCTTCAAATAACTGGTCTAGATCCTCTTGCTCAAATCCTCCGAAATAATCCACGTCATTCAAGTACCTATGAATTATAATTAACTCAAACCAAATCACCAACTTCAACTGTTAATTCATAAACCGAATTCCCATCAAAATCATATTAGAATAACCAGTGTCTCCATTTAGCATCTGAGCCAAAACCGTTGCTATAAATTTAAAGGGCCTCACCATTAAGGGTTGGTTCATTCATTACCGCGATATACCTCTCTCTTGTAAAAGTAAGAGCAAAGTACTTTTATTAACTCTCTTGTACGTCAGTCTGCTTAGCGACCTGACCCACACCAACATCAATACAAAATCAGTGGATGTAGGATTTGCTACCTTAGCATCCGAACCACTTAAAAAGCCCCTTTTCATTTATTTCTGTAAAAGGCATCCATTGTCACGAGCATAAAATTCATAAACAGTGTCACCCACTTGACAATTGGTTGGTGCGCAAATCAAGCATCAACACTAGTTAACATCGGATATGTGCACTCTCACCTCGTCTATGCATTGGCGCCCATTCCGAGTCATTTGCATGACCTAGTGCCACGTTTTGTTTGCGTGGTGTTGGTGGTGGTGTGGTGTGGTGAGTTGGAGACAAAGAGGAAGTTGGGTTGTGAGAAAATTTTGGTGTAAAGGGTTATTTTAAATTTTATAATTTGGAGGAGTGAGAGAGGTTGGTTTACTATTTTTTGGATTAAAAAACCTAAACCTTTTCACCATTACATTAAATTTTTTTTGTTAATTTTAAAGTGGAATCTAGAATTTATAAACATAGGAATTTGAAAATTGGATGAGTTTCACACTTAAGCCTTAGACTGTTTTATGCTATTTCAATTTTTTTCGCGATGAGATGTCACGGCCCGGCCCGGCATGGCCCAAGTTGCTTCTGACTCCTTATGTTTCACTTGGCTAGTTTCTTATATTTCCTTCCATGGACCATGGTTTCGTAAATTCTGAATGCCACTGTTTAAATTAACTCAGTTAGTTATTTTTTTGGTTGGAGGAATACTATATATACATCATTTTTATATAATATTATATAATAAAATATGATTAGTTAATTTAAAATTAAAATTAAACTTTTACCCAATCAAATCTTATCACGTAATATTATATAAAAAATATTATATAGAAATAATATATTTATAGTATTATTCTTCTGTGGTTGTGAGTTGTGACGCAAAATAGCGAGCGTTATCACCAAACTAAAATATATTTTAACCTTTAAATTAGTAGAATTGCAAAAATAATTATCTTACTTTTAATTTTATTTCAATAATACCCTATTCTTCAACCTTCATTTTCTCCGTGACGGCCAGATCTCAGTAGCCAAATTGGCCATCAGGATCTTCTCCACCTCTTTCTCTCTCGCTCTTTCTCCTTATCTCTTCTCCACCTCTCTCTTTCTCTCTTTGTCTTTATCTCTTCTTTGCCTCCTTATCTTCTCTTTCCTCTTCCTCTTTCTCTGTTCCTCTTCTCTGCGCTATCTCACAACCCAGCCTTTCCTGTCGTCGTGTCGGGGCTCTTTTGCACGCTGGGGCACACTGTTCCCTGTGCTAGGCATGTGATAGTGTGCTGCATCGCACGACAACACACCCGTATCGTGTGATTAGGCTTTTCACAGACCCCCACCTCCGTCGCACTTCCTTCGTCCCTAGTTGTTATGCACGGAAAATGAAGAGCTGACGTGGAAGGAGTCGCGTCAGGAGTAACCTGCCCCCGTCAGGACAATGTGCGCACGTCAGACCTGCGAATAAACATGGAGCTCACACGCGTCCGTCTCTCTGCAGCAAGTCACGCAAAGTCAGCTTGGAAAAAGGGAAAACGGGACGTGAAGATGGATGACATCCTGACAATCACACCAACCCGTAGATTTAATGATGATTACACGCTTCCATTCGATATAAAATGTAGAAGCTCCCATTAAGGGGGTTGGTTCAATTCATTACCCAGAGATAACTCTCTCTTGTAAAAAGTAAGAGCAAAGTACTTTTATAACTCTCTTGTACGTCAGTTGCTTAGCGACCTGACCCCACCAACATCAATACAAAACAGTGGATTAGGATTTGCTACCTTAGCATCCGAACCACTTAAAAAGCCCCTTTTCATTTATTTCTGTAAAAGGCATCCATTGTCACGAGCATAAAATTCATAAAACAGTGTCACCACGTGACAATTGGTGGTGCGCAAAGCAAGCATCCACACTAGTTAACATAGGTATGTGCACTCTCACTGTCTATGCATTGGCGCCCATTCACGGTCATTTGCATGACCTAGTGCCACGTTTTGTTTGCGTGGTTGGTGGTGTGTGGTGGTGGTGAAGTTGGAGACAAAAGGAAGGGTTGGTTGTGAGAAAAATTGAGATGTAAGGGTTATTGTAAATTTTATAATTTGGAGGAGTGAGAGAGGTAGGGTTTACTATTTTTTGGATAAAAAACCTAAATACCTTTTCACCATTACATAAAATTTTTTTTGTAATTTTAAAGTGAGAATCTAGAATTTATAAAACAGGAATTTGGAAATTCGACAAACCTTGGCTGGGTAAACGTCGTTACTCATTACAAAATTATGTACACTTTAATTTTTGAGTACCAAAGGAATATGTTGCAAAGTTGATATTATCTTCTCTCATTTTACAGGTTACATGATCTCTTTCTTTTCTAACAAGAAAAGCAGTTAGAAAAATATCTCCTCACTGAAAGTTGAGTAAAGTCGCCACTGAATCCATATCATGAACTTGAGTGCCAATATGTCAGATATGTAATAGATATACAATACCACATTTTTCTTCTATTAATTTTAAGCAAGACAATGAACTATAATATTTGTTTAAATGGTAATCAGCGGTGCACTGAGATTTCTTACTGACTTTGCAAGTAAAGTCGAGTGAAAGATTCTTTAACAAAGAAAGTGAAAGCAGGAGCAGCAGACATCTTGAAGTCAAGCTTCGTTAAAGATACAAACCAAACTTCGAAAAAGAAAGAATGAGACTTGGGCTATACACTATACAGCAATTAAAGTGAAAGTATTGACGACAAAAATGGAAGAAATGTTGAAAGTTTCTTTGAAAAATATGCATTTGCATTTTGCACCTTTGACAGTGGCTTGGATGGACTTGATAATTTTCACCAACTTTTTATTTTCTTTGCGGGAGGCATGTGATTGACCACCCAAATTGAGGGAAATTTGTCAAACCAATCATAATGATAATGTTTGTCACTGTATTAGCAATTAAGTTGGACATTTACAACCCATTTCTTTTCCATTTTTCAATTGTTCTCCAAAAATGTTGTATGTATAGTTGATAACAACACAATATTAAAATCTTACTGAAAATGTTTGTGGCTGTATTTGGATTACATGACCTGTTATGACTTTTTTTCTGCTTTCTGGTGGAGGCTATAGATTTATGTGCATAGAAGAGTGGGTTGAGAAATGAGTGATGGGGCCTAACCCAAGTGCAAATTACAGACTGCCCCTCACATAGTAACATGGGCTTGAACAGCCCATATTCCATACACAACTATGCTTTATGTCATCCAATGAAACAATTTGAACGAAATAAGTAGAAAAACACGTACAAAATTTGGATGGAATGCCTCGTGTTAATACTACATTTATAATTTAATCTCACAATTCTGATATAATAATTTATAATTGATCAGCTCACAATAAGTCTCACATATTCAATTATAAACGAATCAATTACAAACTATCACGTTAAAATTGTAAAAGAAAGTTTATAAAATTAGAGTGTGGACTAATCTTTATTGGTGTCTAGTAGATTAAAATTAAATTGAGATTGACCACACACTAAACAATTTTAAACACGTGAGACATGTTATGTTATTTGTCAAACATCTCCATTCAGTTTGTCCCCTTTGATACGCCGCCTTGCGGCCGATAGAAATCAGATACCGTAATTGCCTCCGCACACACACTGACAAAGATCTTCCGAATAACAGGGTAATTACAAGTTCCAAATGTCGAACTCTCAAGTAATGAAATTGCTGATAACAAAGTTACAAAAGACAAAAGCGCAAGGCTTTAAAGTCTCAGAAACGATAACAACAATAAAACAACCAGACACCATAACTAATAATTAACACATACAATTACAAAGAAGGAAAATTCATATCCTTTACTTTGTTTGACATTTCACATCACTGTGCAATATTCTGACGGATGTGTCTAAGCAACACAGGAATAACAGTATCCGGCGAGCTCAACTGCGGCAAATGGCCGTCCGACGACATCACTTCAACTATGGAATCACCTACGATGTTCCGGTGAAGATATTCGGAGACCACCACCGGCACGGCCAAGTCCTTCATACTTTGGATAATGTGACAGGGCACAGTCACTAGGCTTAGAATTTGCCTCATGTCACTTTGGAATATGGTTTGTGCCACACTTAAGGCTATGTCTGGTCGCATGTTGAATAGGGTTCGACTGAATTCTTGAACCGCCACCGATTCCATGTCCCCGCCGACGGCTAGTGGGGCAAACCCTGAACACCATGCCTTGTAATTGGACTGCATGGCTTCAAATAACTGGTCTAGATCCTCTTGCTCAAATCCTCCGAAATAATCCACGTCATTCAAATACCTATGAATTATAATTAACTCAAACCAAATGACCGACTTCAACTGTTAATTCATAAACCGAATTCCCATCAAAATCATATTAGAATAACCAGTGTCTCCATTTAGCATCTGAGCCAAAACCGTTGCTATAAATTTTCTGTAAGCCTAAAACAATGGATTTTTTTTTTAAAAAAATTTAGTGCTACTCTTTGATACAATGTTAGGTTTTCGGAAATAAAAATTTTCAGTTTTCCAAATCATATTTTTCTGAACATTTTTAAAACATAAACCATGAAGGAAAATTAACAAAATTAACCATCTTAGAGGCGGTTAACTAAAATTAAGAACTTTTCTTTAAGTTCAACTTTCCAACAATTAAACGAAGAGGTAGGAGAAAGACCTAATTCTTTATTATTTAGAAATAATAAAAAAAAAAATCGTATAGTGACGTAAAGATAAGAGGAACTACCGAAATATGGCAATTAAGAAGGAGGAAATGATGATTAAAAACATTAAAATATATTATATTTATATATAATACATAATTTCAATTAGTTGGAAACAATGACAGATCTATAGTTTAATCATCTCATTCCATTAAACAAATCAATGTTAAACTTTCACCGGACAAAAGTCAGATGTTACGTTAAAAAAGATTTAAACGCGTAGTAATTTTTTTTTACCTCGGGGAACCAGAGATCATGACGATTTTGGTGAAGAGATCGGGGCGGGAGATGGAGGCCATGGCTCCAATCATGCAAGAAACAGAATGGCCGACAAAAATACACGACTCAATTTGCAGCTCTTCGAGAATCGCAAGCAAATCATAGGCATAACCTTCAAGAGTTGCGTATCTGTTGAAATCGAAGTAGTCAGGATTGGTGGTCCCAGCGCCCATATTATCGTACAAAACGACGCGATAATCTTCGACGAGATAGGGGACGAGGTGCTTCCACACGGACTGATCGGTGCCGAAGCCATGAGCCAAGACGATGATTTGGTCGCCTGAGCCGAGAACCTTGACGTTGTGAGCTTCTTCTACGATTCCCATTTCTCTCTTTGGCGGTATGCAAGTGGAATATCGGTGGGTTAGTTCAGCAAATGCGAGTTTTATGGTGTGAACTTTGATGTGAAAATGATTTTTAGTCTCCGTCTTTCGACTTTCAGTTGGAAAAAAAATATGGTGTTGACGGGGGATAATACAGACCACATGTGTGGGACACTGTATCTTGATAATATACTTCTCTTATTTTTTAACAAGTTTTTGTTTCTACTAACTTTATAATATTAATCATCCGGTGTAGTATTATTTATTAAAAAATCATCAACAATTCATCAAATAAATAAATAAAATATGACCAACTTAATTTACTGATTTGAATAGATCAGTTTATTATACCACTTATGTATTATTCCAATATTTTTTTTTTTTAAATGAGGAATATCAGTAATTTTATTTTTTTATATTCGTTTGCAATCATCTTAACAGATTTACAAGACAAAAAAAGTTTTCGTCAACATGTCCCAAGAAGTGATTTAAAAAATGAGACAGACAGAGTAGAAAATGAAGTGTATAGATCATTAGTCATTTTAATTATAAATATATTATCAATTAGAAAAAAAAAAAAAATGGTGAGATATACCAGAATATATGCCCAATCCTTTGTCTTTTTCTTTCATGTAACTAACCAATAGATTTTAAATTAATACATTTAATATGGTATTGATGAGGCTCTCAATAACACTCATGACTAATCTAGTGCACAAGTTGATCTAAAACTTTCACACAATGAATTATTTAATTTTTATTTAATAGTTGTTAGCATATAGTACTAAAATAATTAAATATTTGATACATATATTGAATGTGTATACATTGTTCATAGTACCATATGTTGTATGGATTGATGTCATACAACAAGATAAACTCAATACATTTTTTATAAGATTATTTATTTATAATTATGCAATATGAAAGCTACTCTTTTCATAATCTGTATTAATATTTATTTTTACTTAACAAAATAGGGTTAAATTTTGTTAAAACGTATATCTTGTTGAGGATTATATTATAAATAGCGTAAATGGTTTAAATGAAAGTTTGGATTATTTAAATTTTCTATAAGAGATCAAAAAAGAACTTTGAATTTTCCTATCTGTAGAATATTTTGTATCAATAATGGTAGCTCTTTCAATAAGTTAAATATTCATTCAAACCGACTTTAGAAGATTCTGAAGTTATCTTGGGCTCAATTATAATAGAAGTGGATTATGATGAGGTTGATTGACAGTTTATACTGTTTTGTATGAATTAGGACTCGAATTCGAGATCATGCTAAATTCTCTTTTTATTTTTTTATTATCATAAGGATTTAAAATTAAGAGATCATATTAGATCTTTTTTTTACTCTTTTACCAACGAGACGACTAATAATATAATGGTTTTGCTGGTGTTGGTATTGATGTTGATGCTTTAGAAAGTAGAAACTGAGTAGTGCAGTGTGGCTGGCTTTGCCATGACTGTGACACAACAACTCACCGTTACCTGGCATTTAGTCGGCACGAACTCTATGCTCATTTTTCTTCTTACCTATAAATTGTTTGTATCTAATATCTATAACTAATTTCATAAATTATTCCAATATAATTAGTTATAGAGGTATCTAAAAGTTTTTATTTCAAAGCCAACAACCCAATAACAATACAAATATAATATATAAAATAATTAGTTCCATCTATTTGACATGCTACCTAACATTTAGACAACTTGATATATCAATTATGTAATCTATAGACATAATAATTCGTTTTATAGACCTTATCAACTCATGTAAGAAAGTTTGCCATTGTTATAGTATTGGAGGAAACAAAAATACTATATTTACTACAACTTTAACATGACAACATAATTGACATTACTACGTTAATTAATGATTTTGATTGAACATAAACGACTATTAAGAATGAATGTTCTTTAATCATTTTTTATGAAACAATGGTTGTTCTTTTATAAAGAATTATAATTTTCCATGAAAGAATGATCGTTCTTTCATAAGAAATATATTCATTTCTTATAAAAGAACGATTGTTCGTTCCTAAGAAATGATCGTTCATGTCTAATCAAATTTATTTAGTGTTTTGGGTATAGTGGGAGCTAATGTGACAGTTTTCAACTTAGCTTTTATATTGGAGTTGTGAAATTAGATTGTAGGCGTAATATTATACTAGTACTCGTGGAGGAAATGACGAACGTTTTTAATTAGTTTTTGATAATTGTGAGTCGGGTCAGACTCACAATTAAGCTATTGTTTTTTTTTATTATTATTATTATTATTGCTTTGAATTTGGTGTTATATTATTTATAAATTAGTGCTTGTGATTTTAAAAATGAGCAGAGAGATAAAGTGAAATAAAAGGAAAGATTATGAAAGTCGAGAAGATATTGAGTTGCGGGATAAGAGGAACCTAGAAAAAGATGAAGCCCATAAAAGAAGGGATGCAAAGCAGAGGCCCAGAAAAAAGGGGATAACAAAACCACACAAGTCACAATTGTGGACCACTCACTTTCTCATATCTTCCCTTATACCTTCCCATATATTACTCTTACTTATCCAACATTTTACCTGCTACATCAATATGAATAAATAAGAGAATACTCCCTCGTTTTTTTAATAGTGGTTTTAAGTTTAGGCACGGGTTTTAATAAAAAAAATTCTCTCTGTCACCAACTTTTCCTTGATTTTGCAGGTGGGAGAAGACTTTGCAAGTAGAAAACTTTTCGCTTATTTAAAAATTAACATTTTGTCTTATTGCATTTTATTATTCTGCATCTTGAGAAGACAAGACAGGAACGACTTTTATTTTGAAAAAATTAAAAACCCTAAAATGACTATTAAAAAAAAACGGAGGAAGTACATATTAGTAAACGTTGTTGGTAACTAGGTATAATTTAATACTCACAATACATATGCAATGCAACTTTCCGTACTAATTACTACAATTTTTTTTCCTCGAATCATGTAATATAGAGTTGAGATATATGGATTCAAAACAATATATATATAAGGATGTGATTTCAACACAAATTTTAACTTAAATTCTTTGCAAAATTATATAACCCAAATAAGTAAGAATTGAAACCACATGGATGGTTTGATGATAAAAGAGCAAAAGAAAGTTCTCATAAGCTTTTAAGTTCGAGTTTTCATAGGCCTTAATGGGGTGGTAATTGAAGGAGTTACTGATCATCAACTTCAAGTTTTAAGGGATTATTGAAGTAAGTGTAAACTGACTCAAACATTTTCAGTGAAAAAAAAAAAAAAAGTAAAAATTATTGAGGTAATAAATACAATACTATCTCCAAGTTCCTTTTATATTTATCGTATATAAAGTTATATCTCGATTTAAATATAAAATTTAAGTTCAAAACTTGTAATTAGATACCTTGTTACTAGAATTTTGAAAAAATTATTATCATAAAATTCAATCACCGTTTTTTCATTCTCGTTCGATTAAGTAGACTAATCTTAGGAACTGTATTAAATCAGTAGGATTAACTCATGGCTGACACGTATAAAAGGCATAAAGACGAGATGAGTTTAGAGATATTTTTGTTGAACGGTGGGGATTGACAGAGATGGCCATTTAAGATGCAGCTACAAGATACGCACTCGTCCAATCATCATAATCCTACAAACAGCACCGCCCATAATTCATAAAGCAGTTAGTTGCGTGAATACGGCAATCCTTGATTACCACTAATTACTATTTCAGATATTTTCGTGGTTATTAACATTTATTATTAGGGATAGGCACGGGCTGGGTCAGGGTCAGGGACCCATTCCCCATCCCCGACATTCACTCCCATGATTGTTCTCAATCTGTCCCGCTGACGGGGACAACTTCAGACTGTCCAGCCTCGGAGATGAAATCACTCCCATTCTTCGTCTTGCTTAACTCGATGAACGTGACTTTACGGAAAAATCCCCGAACATAATTAAATATATCTATATCTAATCTAAAACTAATTTATTAAATAAATTGATTAATATTCAATTGTATAGAGGTTTAGGCTTTAGTTAGCCCTGTATTAATTAATTTTCATAAAATTAATATAACTAATTCAATCACATAATTACTAGGTAAATTGATTACTATTTAAGTGTACGAAGACTAGTCGGTAGGCTTAATCAACTTGTTATTTAATTAATTTTTCATAAAATAATATATTTATATCTAATTTTAATATAATTATTGGGTAAATTAATTAATTATTTAATTGTATGGAGGCTTGGCTTAGTTAGTCATGTAATTATAATTTTCGCAAAATTAATATAATTAAATTCAATCTTAACTAATTTACTGGTATATTGATGAATTAATTCATAAACACTATCTCAACCACACTAATAAAATTAGTCCATTTATGAAAGGACAAATCTCATTATCACAAGTTTCTAATATTGATTAAGTTTAAATCATATTTAATTAATCAACAATAATCACAAGGATAATTGAATGTGTGAATTTGTAAGTTGTTAAACAATTGTGTATATTTTTATATTGGTTTGGTAAATTGTATAATCTAATCAAATTTATTTTTGGACCATGTATTATTATTTGTGAAAATTACTAAGTAATAATACATATATTTAATTATAGAATCCCTCATTTAATTATTTTTTCTATAATTTAATATAAACATTAAAAAGTATTATAAAAGCAAATATCATAAATTTAGATACATTGTTAAAACTAGGATTTAAACTCTAACTTTTTATACAATCTCGCAAAGAAAAAAACTAAAATTCTCAATAAAAGAAGGTAGGGCTCCAAAGGGGCAGGGTTGACAGACCATGGCAGGTCGGGAATTTTTTTGAGGACCATCCCGACATCTAATATTTCTCGGATTCTCCGCCCCATTCAGTCGTGGGTCAGGCCGAAATCCCCGTGGGCTGGGGCAAATGCCATCCCTATTTTTCGATTTATTATAATATTTATTGATTTTAATTTTTAAGTCATATAATAAATTTTTTATATAATCTACTTTAAAATGCGAGCTATATATGATAATAACAGAGGATAAACTTGATCTCAGAACTACTTTCAATTGCCAGGCAACTCAAATGAGACATTGAATATAAGATTTCCACTTAAAAACCAAACTGAACTTTCTGAGTT